TTCCCAAACATTCAAGATACCTTAAACCGCTTTTGCAGGTCATGATATCGATCATAACTCACGGATAAGGGTACAACCCGATTTCATATTTATATAACCATCGTATGATTTAGGCTATTTTTGGTGTTTTGGTCACTTTTTAAATATTTTGGCCATTATTTGGCATCTTTGTTTCTAAGGAGGTAGAGAACCTTTTCGCATAAAGTTTTAAATTTTTAAGTAGGGTCCATTTTGGTCTTGACCACATTCATTAATTGATTTGGCTAAAAATTGTATTAATGCTACCCTGGGGTAGGGAGCCATCATACAGATAATTGCCACATAGGAATTTATTTAAGTAAAGTCCCCACATTGGAGTACCCCCAAGTCCACTTTCACATCTAATTGGTGGTCAGAAAAGAAAATTTTGTTTTCTATTGAATTTGTAACCCCCAAGAGAATATTGGTTGGGCCACGTTTTGGTATAACCCTTATATAAATGTATCCCTGATTTCAGCTGTGACCGTGGTCTTGGCCACGTTTTTCAACTGATTTGGCCATTATTTGCTGTATTTAGGCTACTTTGTGAGTAGAGAACCATCTTACAGAAAAATGTCAACATACGTAAATATTTTGGTACAGTCCCCAGGCCCGCCAATTTATAGTGATGTTTACCAATTGGCGGACAACAACGCTGGTATTGTTTAATCGTCATTGAATTTTACTATGAACAAGAACATAGACTTTTTGGGACTCTAATGCGCACTTGAGGTGCTATGGTAATGGGTGTAAAAGCGTAATTAACTTTGACTTTTCAGAAATTATTTTGCCCTCCTTCCATAGTTATTTATTTCTATTTAGTCGAATCAATATTTATATTAAAATTTTTTCACCTTTATGAGCTAGATTTGTGAAATATTATGCTATGCAAAATTTGCATTAAAGACTAAAACTACGGGCCGGCGACGCGGACCGGGCCAGCTAGTTTAAAATAAAGCAACAACTTTTGATTAAAAAAAAAAACAAAAGTGTCTTAATTATTATAAAAAATCAAAACAATTAATGCTAAATCAGGCACTGCAAATGCAAAAAATAGTAATCCACGATGTAGCTCGGACCGACGCGACTCGAAATTGCAACGACTCAAATCGAATTTTCTGGTTTTTGAAAAGCGACGCAAAACGGGACGACGCAAGTCGGGGCTCCAGTGTATGGATCTTCCCATCTCGCCGAGCTGAGTCGATCTAGCTATATACGTCCGTGGGTCCATGTTAATTTGTAATCAATCTACAAGTCGCAATTATGACCCAATCTTCACGAAATTTAGAATAGAGGTGGGGCTAGAAGCAGAATAGAAGCCTCTTGCTTTTGGAGAAGATCGCATAATATTTAGGTTGAATTGGACCAAAAACTTAAAAATTTACGCGGAAGAGAGCATAGGGCTGGACAAAAGCCTTCCAATATTGATGGTCATCGGGTAATATTTAGTAGGTGAAATAACATTCGTGTTAAAGTAAAATTTTCCATAAAACCTCGAATATTTTTAATCCCTGCGAAATCACAAATAAGCGAGAAGGTCAATTGTGACCGTTACCTAGATAAATACATCGGATATAAATAGCGAAATATATACAATGTATATATACAAAGGAAGGGGATGTTAGCTGGAATGATTATATATCAAGAATGGCTGTTCCGAACTTGACAATTTTTGTCAATTCAGAATGCCCTCTTGGCATAAAAGTATAAAATCTAAAAAAATCGCCTAAAGAGAAGCCAATAATGATGTTAATATAGATTTTGTAGTATTTTGTGGCATTTTGTTTTTTTTTTTTTTTTCATATTTTTTATTGCATGCGATTTTTTAGTATATTTAGGGGTTAAAATGGACCAACAACTAAAAATGTTCCTGATTTTGTAGCCGTCACAAAAAGAAAGCAAAAGATGCGAAATGTCGCATGAAATTAGAATTTAGAATAGCGGGTAGTATGGACCACTATTTTTTGGTGTGAAAAAATAGCAACATTTCCATTCTACCGAAACGCTCAAAATAACTTGCAGGCGAACTTCTTGCTTTTTATACCCTCCACCATACTATGGAGGGTATATTAATTTTGTCATTCCGTTTGTAACTCCTCGAAATACTCATGCCGGACGCAATAAGGTATATATATTCTTGATCAGCGTAAAATTCTAAGACGATTTAGCCATGTCCGTCTGTCTGTCTGTTGTAATCACGCTATCTTCCGTAAATGGGCCATGTAGGTCCAAGTTATCATATAGCCACCATATAACGGTACCTCCCGATATTCGGTATTTTGATGATTTTAGCGACATTATTCACCGGAATTGTTTCAAATTTGGCATTTGAAGGTCGTAATGGATACTACAGCCTAAGACAGAAAATTATCTGTGCAGGTCCACGTCTTCGTGTAGCCCCCATATAACGGTACCCCCCGATATTCGGTATATTGATGATTTTAGCGACATTGTTTACCGGAATCGTTTCAAATTTGGTATTTGAAGTTCATAATGGATACTTCACCCTGAGTCAAAAAATGAACCATGTAGGCCAACGTCTTCATATAGCCCCCATATAACGGTACCCCCCGATATTCGGTATTTTGATGATTTTAGCGACATTATTTAACGGAATCGTTCCAAATTAGGTATTTGAAGTTCGTAATAGATACTGCAGAATAAAACAAAAAATGGGCCATGTAGGTCCACGTCTTCGTATAGCCCCCACATACCGTACCCCAGATATTCGGTATTTTGATGATTTTAGCGTCATTATTTACCGGGATTGTTTCAAATTTCGCATGTGAAGTTCGTAATGGATACTTCAGCCCATGCCAGAGAATTCTCTGTGCAGGTCAACGTCTTCGTATAGCCCCCATATAACGGTACGCCCATATTCGGTATTTTGATGATTTTAGTTACATTATAAACAGATTTTTCTTCAAGTTTCGCATTTAAATATTTTAAAAACTTATGACAAAAATTGCCTATGCAGGTCCACGTCGTCGTATAAGCATTCGGCATTTTTAAGATTTTAACAGAATTTTTAACGGATTTTATTTTATTATTTATTTAATTAATTAATTTATTTATTTATTTATTTTTTTTTTGGAAATTGTCAAATTTGTATCAAATGGTGGAGGATATTAAAAGTTCGGCCCGACCGAACTTACATCTTTTTTACTTGTTTACGCTGATTTTGTTGACAAATATAGCCAAATATCGTTGACAAGCAAATCAAATAGATTAGTCTAAATTTGGCGAAACAAAGGGGCCTCTTGCTTTTGGAGATGACCCCAAAATATTTAGGGGTTCAAATGAACCAAAAACAGAAAAATTTTCCTGATCACACAATTTAAACAAATCGACACGTGATTTTGCATGAGAAGAGAGTTAAGGACAGGGAAGAAGTCTAGTATTTTGGATGACCACTGGATTATATTTAGCTCTAACAGCACGACGGAGTGCGTAAATATTGGGCAAATGTCACTGGTCAAAAAGCTCAGGGTAATATCTGGGCAGTGTTCTATGACATAATTTCAAAAGCGGAATCTTCCAAAATGGGTGTGTACATAAGGGACTTCTATCATATTGTAGTGTTGTAGGGTATCATATGGTCGGCCACGCCGGCTATTGCCCTTGCTTACTTGTTTTTATATGGTAATGTGTTATTGGGAAGGACTCTAAATAATAGAAAAATAGATAATTCAGCATTTTACACATTTTCTGGTCTGAAATCCCGGAACAGTAACTCCAGTCTTTCCCTAAACTAGGTTACATCCACTTCACAATCAGCAACTGCCTCCACGAATACTGTTTTAAAGCATATATATTGTCTGCATTTCGAACCATTTGAAGCAAAAAAGCTTATTATTCCCAGTTTTGAGGCAATTTCTTTTGCCTTTTCTTGAACAATAGGCCATGAAACGTGAATGTTTTGTGAACGATTTAAAAAAATGAGAGACGTGTCTTTCTTTCTAGTTTCAGGTCAATTGACTGTAATCTAAACACTTTTTGGTTCGGATCTTTACCTGTCCGCCATTGTAAAAGTTAATTTTCCTTATTTTTCAATATATAGGCTACATGCGATTTTACAATATCAAACCTTCAAAAGAAAAAAGGATATTTTCATATGTAAATACATATTTGATAAAAAATAAATAACTAAAGTTTTTTGCCAATTCTTGAACTGAAAGTTTATCCTTCTTTAATGATTCATATACATTTGTATTTGAAGCTGCGTTTCTTGATAATTGTCTATTAAAGGGGGACTCGGCCTAAGAGAGTGTCCACTATTGGGAGTTTTCACTGTGTACATCTTTTTAACAGCATCCTTTTGTTAAGTGCTCTTCTGAAGTCCTATTGCTGTAATAAAAAGATGAACAATTGTTCCTCATCTCAGTCTTTACATTAATAAAAAGATCCATACGAAAAATGTTTAATTTTGAAATAACTACAAGTTTTTAAATTTGACGTCTCGAAACTAGTATCTAATTTGGTAGATAATCTCTTAAAATCTTAGGAGTTCTTATCCTATTTCCTTTTCAATGTCGCTCACATTAACAATATATTGTCGCTTCAAGTATTCGACAAAATTGAATCATACGGCAAGTGCTACAGCAAAATGTACAAAACTTACGTAGCCCTATTACCTCCTTACATGTACATATGCAACATAACGACTAATATTTCAGACCTTCTGATGCATATTTGTATTAAACTCGCAAATATTTATTTAGTAGCTTCGTTTATATTGAAAAATAAAGGAAGATCATAATATCAATTCATTAATCGTATTTGACTTTAATTAAAATATGAAAATAAACGTTTATTTCCGTTGCAACCCACTTTAGCGTATACGACAGGCAGCAACAATGTGACGTCACACCACCAGAAAAACAAGAAATGCGATACGAAATGAAGAGAGACAAAATACTGGCGCAGAAACCAGTATTGCCTCTCATAAATTCAACGAAAGAGAAACAACACCAACCACGTGCTCTCAGACTCTTATCAAGTAAAAAAGAAAACAGCTGTTGGTAAGCAGCAACAATAAACAGTGTGGTGTATTTCAGCTGGCCACTACGGTTGTTTGACAAAAGTGTTCTGTAAAAATAAATTAAATAACAAGAAATATTAATCAATACAAGTTTAACTAAATGTTAATTTGTATTATGTGTATAGACGCATTCACCAACAACAACAACAGTTTGTTTGAATGAAGTAAATGAGAAATAAAAAGCTTCCAGCCGTCGTGGGTGAGTACAAGCAGACCATATGTCAAATCAATTTCTCTCTCTCTTTATAATTTGTGTGTGTATGTTTCACATTACGTGAAAATGCTAACAAAGTGAAAATTCAACTTGTGGTGTTATTAGTTTATTTCAATAATCATAATATTATTATAAAATCTTTGCTCTGTTTTGCGTTGGTCGTTTGCTGGTAGCGTGCCATCGGTTTGTAAACAGCTGATTAAAAAGCAACAAATGGAAAAACAGGGGAGAGAGAATGGGAGAATAGGCTGAGAGAAAAAACTGTATGCATTTTGTTAACAGTATTGCCAGATATACATTTTAAGAGGTTTTATCCAATACTATAGAAGAATAATAGGGGCATCAAACAATAAAAATTAAAAATATGTGTGTAATTATTTAAAATATTTTAATTGCAAAATATACAAAACATACAAATTATTAAAAAATCAGATACTTTCTCATATAGGACTACGATATTTTGTAGCCCCCATATAACGGTACTTCCCGATATTCGGTATTTTGATGATTTTAGCCACATTTTTCAAGGGAATTGTCTGAAAATCCACACAAGGAGTTAAATTTGAGCACTTTACCCCCTGAAAGTGAATAGTTCATATAGGTCCACGATATCGTACATCCCCCATGTAACGGTACCCCCGATATTCGGTATTTTGATGATTTTAGCCACATCTTTTAACGGAATTGTCTGAAAATCCACACAAGGAATTCCTTGTGGGTACTTTGTTCCTTGGAAAAGAATTATCTTTATAGGTCTACGATATCGTGTAGCCCCCATAAAACGGTACTTCCCGATATTCGGTATTTTGATGATTTTAGCCACATTGAATTGTCTGAAAATCCACACAAGAAGTTCCTTGTGAGTACTTAACCTTTAACTTCTGAGGTGGTGGTAAATTTTACCCTCCCTTCACATTTTCTTGAAATTCTCTATTCTATTACAATGAAAAAAATTTTGTTTACATAAAAAAAAATGTTTTTTTTTTTACTTATTGTAATTTAAAGTATACAAGCTTACTTTTAAAAAACAAATTATTATCAAATAAATTTTTAACAAAGTTTTTTTTTCTGTAATATTTAGAGGTGTAAAATTTACCACCACCTATGTCACCTCAGAAGTTAAAGGTTTACCCCCTGAAAGAGAAATGTCTATATAGGTCCACGATATCGTATACCCCCCATATAACGGTACCTCCGATATTCGATGTTTTGATGATTTTAGCCACATTTTTTAACGGAATTGCCTGAAATTCTACACAAGGAGTTCTTTGTGAGCACTTTACCCCCTGACAGAGAATTCTTTTTATAGGTTAACGATATCGTATATCCCCCATATAACGGTACCCCCGATATTCGATGTTTTGATGATTTTAGTCACATTTTTTAGCGGTATTGTCTGAAATTCCACACAAGGAGTTCCTTGTGAGTACTTTATCCCCTGAAAGATAATTATCTATATATGTCCACGATATGGTATAGCCCCAATATAACGGCACCCCTCGATATTCGGTATTTTGATGATTTTAGCCACATTTTTTAATGGAATTGTCTGAAATTCCACACAAGGAGTCCCTTCTGAGTACTTTACCCCATATATTTGTCTATGTAGGTCCACAATATCGTATATGCCCCATATATAGGCACCTTCCGATATTAGGTATTCCAAAGATTTTAACTGAATTTTTAATGAATTTTATTTATTTATTTATTTATTTATTATTATTATTTTTTTTGTTTTTTTTTTTTTTGAAAATTGTCTAATCCGTTTCAAATGAGGGAAGGTATTCAAAGTGCGGCCCGGCCGAACTTACTGTTTTTTTATTTGTTTTTTTTTAGTTCACTATTTACACAAACATCTTGATAAAAAAGGAAGAGGGCAGGAATCCTCAGCGGGTATCAATATATTTGTTCCGTTATTTTCATTTCATTCATTTGCCAATATTCAATGTTCTTGGTGGGCTAACTACAATCCGAACCATGGGGATTTAGCCACATCCGTCCGTCTGTCTATCTGACTGCCTATGGAAATTACTCCAATTGCACAACATAATCAGCCAAATCGCGAATATCCTGGGGGAATTCTATTCCTACCGAAAGCTTTTTCTTGGAGAGAAGATGGCAACGCAAATGAGTCTTTTTCGTACCTTGTTATAAAAAATTCGTGCAAAATTTGAAGTGCTTTTGTTTTTTATGAAAATTAAACGACTTAAACCAACTAATTTTCAATATAAGGATTTGAATATATGTGTAGGATGTTAAAACATCAATGAAGAAACATAAAAGTATGAAAATACAATCCCAAAATGCCAATTTTATCAGCTTTTGAAATAAAATGCACAAATTATTTAAAACAACACTGTATACGTTAATAAATAATTAATAATAAATAAAACCTATAAAAGAGGAAAATGTTTGTACGTTTGTTTGCTGGTAACTTGTGGACTCAAAAACCGCTGCACCGATTTTTTTTTGGAAAATTTCCAAGTATACTACAATATCGCCTGAAAGTAACATAAAATATACAATTTTGGAATTACACTTGCAACTGGAGATATAGCATCAGAATCGAAGGTACCTCCCAAAAATTTAGATTTTATATGAACATATCTATTAATATGTACAGTCTCCAAATTTGGAATGCGTAATGGAATTCGGAACAAAAATAAATTTGCCCAATTATTTTTAAATCGGTTAAGATTTGGATATAGCTCCCGCTGCGCTTCGATACCCCTTTTGATTGTATATGCATTCAAAATTTTATATACGAACATTTTGTGGTACAATAAATTCTAAGATTCCAAAAACGTATTTATTGTAATACTTTAATGCGTAAACAAACAAATCACTCGGTCTACCAACGTGTGAACATTCCACAGCTGACCATGAGCAAACCAAGCACATGTCGAATTTAGTCCGCAGATTCGAAGAGTTTGTCCTTTGGATTTATTGATTTCATACGAATGTCAAGCGTGTCCGAAACTGCAATCTTTTAAAGTTGGATGGCATTTCTGTTGCAAAAATTCGAGGTAGCAACATACTTCACCTTCATAATCATTTGTAATCAAATTGGATACCATCTATCACACTTACTACTCTAATGCTTTACTCTCAAAGTTATACTTATACCAAAATTCATAATTCCAGTTCTATTCCTACACTCAATGTCCAATTTAGTACCAGTTTGTACCGAATTAAGTACAATTTGTTAAGTTTGGTAAACTTAAGTGCTAATTTCGAAAATCACTTCCTTCCTCACTTTCATTCTCACATAAAATTTCAATTTTATATCCAACGTAAAATGAAGAAGGTGTACAGATTGGATTTATTAATATACATTTTAAAAATGAGATGTTGTCAAATTAATAATTTTGCAAAAATTGTAAACATATGATTGTGTGACTTTACCTTCTTAACTCTACCATGCTTATATTCTTTTAAAAACGTCGCATCAAATGATTAGCTCTTAGTACCTTTCTTACACTCAAAGTTTACAACTCCTAATATCCTTTGTTGCACCTATGCAACTACAATGTTTAACCCATTATTTACTCTTCGTAACTCTCTAGAACGAATATCCAAAATTTTTTATTAATCATTTTTGTTTATCATGGATATACTTATTCCAATTTCCAACACTTTTCCTCCTACACACCATTGTTGCCCACATGCAAAATGTCAACATTGTAGATTCAGCCGCTTCACCTGGAAGCTGATTTTCCAAAGGACTGTAACTTAGTAAACGGTAAATTTTTAGCTATTATTTTTTGTGCCACACTGATTCAAACAGCTCACGCACGTTTCGTGTTATGTTTTACTATCAAACATCTTAAGTTTGAATTATAATTTAACCATGAATCGTACTTCTTCAAAGATGCTGCGAATCGTAACGTAATTGTAAATGGTGAGTGCTAACTTGAGATGGTTTCCAACTTTTTGGCCCAAACGGTGCTAATTGCCACTTATTGAGAGACGAGTTCGGTGAACATTTTATTTCACGTTCGGGTCTATTGGCCCTCTAGATCATGTAATTTAACGCTATACTAGATCTCATGTCTATTTACAATCCCGCCTCAATTGACGTATCGGATGACAACATTGAAGCAATTATTTGTAAGATACCGGCCGAAATGTTGTAAAGAGTATGCCAAAATTTGTGGAGCAGAAGTATTCAAAATGTGCATAAAATAGTCTTAGGTTAGGTTAGGTTAGGTAGAAAAGAGCGGCGAAGCAAATTCGCCGCATGCCCTGTTGGGCATTCACTTAAGCCAGTGTAGGCCTGTGGTGCGTTCCAGACTAAGTTTTCTTTTTCTAATCTTCGAATATTAAATTATATGCACCGTACTATAAATTCGGATAAAGATTTCATACTTCTTATACCTCTACCATACATAGAATGGGGAGTATATTAAGTTTGTCATTCCGTTTGTAACTCATCGAAATAATAATTTATAATAATAAGCGTACAGTCAAAATGAATTAAGATAGGAAGCTTAACTTTGCACAGATCTGTCTTTTGTCTGCAGGCAGGTCAATTTCGAAGATGGGCTACATCGGTCCACCATATCGAATTCCCCATATAACGGTACCCCCGACATTTGGTATTTTGATGATTTTAGCCACATATTTCTATGGAATTGTCTGAAATTCCACACAAGGAGTTCCTTGTGAGTACTCTTCCCCCTGGAAGAGAATTGTCTAAATAGCTCCCCGATATCGTATATCCCTAATATAACGGCACCTTCCGATATTCGGTATTTGATGATTATAGTCACATTTCCCAATGGAATTGTCTGAAAATCCACACAAGGAGTTCATTGTGAGTACTTTACCCCCTTAAAGAGAATTGTCTATATGGGTTCAGGATATCTTTGTGAGTACTATACCCCCAGACATAGATTTGTCTATATTGGTCCACAATATCGTATATCCTCCTATATATCGGTACCTTCCGATATACATGTCTTAGAGCACTACAATTTTTCAAA